AATCGAATCGAATACTAAGGTGTTCATATTTGTATTTGTTTAAAATTATCGAATTCGAATGCGGACTCTAATATTCATATATCTAGTTTTTCGAATTCGAACTCGAATACTTGGTATTTGATAAATATTCATGAATATTCACGGATACTTATCGAATATCAAAGTATATTTATTTTGCTAAAGAGTTTGATTTTCAAATAGTATTAAAATTCATAAATAAAAATTATTTCTTTATAATATATGATGTATATATATTTAAATCAAAATTTTAATTAAAAAACAGATTTAAGATTATTTAAGTCTTAAAATCTATATATAAAACTTAAGTAGAAATGGTAAGTGGGTTAAAAATATGACATCATATGTGCAATAATACAAATAATAAGCTGTGATCAAATTTTAAACGAATATTTAATAGACAAACGAATCGAATATACATCTGATTAAATTCTATTCGTTAATAAACTCGAATACTAAAAAATATTTGTTTAGTGATAAATGAACTATCGAATCGAATATGACCGAATAGTTATTCGAACAATTATCGAACCATTTATTAATTATTTGGTTCATTTCCACCCCTACTTGTGACATACTTTTGATAATATTACTTGAACATTATTTCGGTGCCAGTTTGCTCTTGAGATCTCGCCTTAATAATATTTATTGCGGCCGCTATCAATTATTGACTCCATTATATCATAGTAGCACATACTAACGCGCAAGAGCCTCTTCATCAAATACGTACCCTCGCCTAGTTGCACGTATAACATGACTGGTAGAGCTACAGAGAATGCCGGAGACGGATCTACGGTGGGTCCTCAACAGCCTAATTAATTAATTAGAAGCTTCTTCCGAGTGCAATTAATGCAAGAAGAATGCGCCAGAAAATCGTAGGTGGAGCGTTGTCTGATTAGATCCAGATGTAGGAACATGTTCTTAATTATCCCGGTTGAACGATTGGGGCCGGCGTTTGTTATCTCAAAACTACGGTTGGCTTGCCTAAGGTTCGGATGATCGATGCATTTTCCAACCGTGTTAGCCAATTAAGCTTCTAGACACGCGCATAACACGTACTAATTAATGTTCCGGATTCCTCATTTGGTATATGATGCTAACAGTCATACCCGTCGGGCCACGACATTTTGTACCAGGGGTCGTATTTCCTCATATGTCGTATAACATTCACTATTCTCTATAGGTTAACGGGCATTGTATGTATGTCAAATGAGGTGATTCACTCCTATGACAATGATGTGACTCAATCTACGCTAAGTATATATTTGAACCACATCATAGTCATACGAAGGAATTCCCTCGTGTGACAAAGATATATCCATTTTTCCTCTCGGTGTAATATTTTAAATGTTGTAAAATTGGATTTTATATTCCCAAAATGGGAGACGATGGATCAGAATTCAATCTGAGACCGCTCTATATAAATATTCGTTTACCAAAGACTAGTAAATTTAGTACTACGGAAAAAGTTACGTTACGCAGCGCGTCAGTAATTTACTATACGTAGAAATGATATTATCTAAAAATTAGTTTTAATGAGCGGCGCCGGCGGATCAAGAGGGCCCCCACGAGAGAAATTGTTTGTTTTTTTAGGTGAGGGTGATTCCTGTCGGCTACACGAGGAGCCATGCAGTGGGGGTAAACTCACCTGAAAACGGTGAGATTACCGTTCAAAATTCAGCGGGTACATTCTATTGATTTGACTTGATTGGACGTGGACCCCAATAAGTTCGATTCTTGTGTTCACCGGTTAGTGAGTAGATCGGTCGATGACGTGGACGATAATGAGACGCGGATGTTGAGATCAGCGTGCAGAGGCGGCAGCGGCGTCATGGGGTTTTATTTAGTTCGGCGACCGCTTCCACTCGTGAGGGGGCTCATAGATCTCAGGATCCGCTGTTTTCTACGGAATAACGAAATATGCATGCTTTAGAAATGGGCCTGTGTTTTTACCTTCACCAAATTTTTGTTCCACTATTTGGGTTTTTTTTGGCATATAAACCCAAATTTAGCAACCTATTTATGACTATATAGAAATGAGAAATTTATATTCTGACCTACTTTGTATTCAGTGGTTAGGTATTTACATAAGTTGTTATATTTTGTTGTAAGTTATTATTTATATTTCATAAATAGATGTATATTGTTATGAGTTATTCTAATGTCTACATCAAATTGTTGAAATACAAAAGAGTTGAAAATAATTTAATAATATAAGTTAATTCTAAGAATTTAGAAGTGGATAAGTTTAAAATTAAACAAATGTAAATCTTTTGTATTAACGGGCAAAAACTATATGAGATTTCAATTGAAGAGAAGAAAAAAAACATGAGACTGACATAATCCTAGCCTTTCAAAATTGAGGATCAAAAGATAAACATATATGGATTAATTATTCAAAATCGATAAGCACATGGGCATGTCAGTTTTAGGTCAATTTGGCAACTCAACTTTTAAAACTGGGTCAAGATCACTTTTGAGAGAACTACGTCTATTTTAATACATGCAGGATTGCATTGGAAAAGAACCAATTTTAATGAGACTTTTTAATCTAGAACATTTAGGATGAGTGTTTGTCCACTTTTGTTAGGAATAAAGATCTTTACAAAATGAGACAAGAATCAAACCCTAATTCTATTTTAAGAGATTGACAAACAGAGCCATAGAGATTACCTTTATAAATCATGGATATATGTAAAAAAAGGATTATTTGTATATATACCCCTTAAATCATGAGTATTTATAAAAAATATCATCTAAATCTTAGTATTTACAAAACTACTCTTCAAATCATCAGCTGCATGATAAAAATACCCCTAAAATTAACCATTCGTCAACTTGGTGCTAAAAAATTGATATTTTTTTTTAATAATTTTTACATTATAATTAAAAATTAGCGTATCAAAATTGACGACTAATTGCTTTGAGTGTAATTTTTGTCCAAAAGTGATGATTTCAGGGCTAGTTTTGCAAATAGTCAGATTTAGTACGTATTTTGCAAATACTAATAATGTAAGGGGTATATATCTAAATAATCCAAAAAGAAAAAGAATGACGAGAGTGAAAAGTATTGTTATCATATTAAATATATTTATTTGCAAGAACACGGGAGTTGCGTGTGACCTCGAGGAGCCACAGCGCCTCGGCGGCCGCGTACTGCAGCAGAAGCCACGGCACCTCTCTGCGCAGCACCCTGCAGACACTGATGGCGAAATATTCTTTTTAAAATGAAACTATTCCTTATTAAATATTAAATAAATAAATAAAAGTGGAACTAGTGTGGTGAAGAATTAATTAATATGCTGACTCAGACTGTTGACCATCTCGTCAAATCCGCGTGTTAAGTTCGACGCCCAAACAATCAGCAAATAAAGTCTCTCCCCAGTTTTTAACGATTTCTTTTTTGTCATCAAGTTGCATTGTCATACTTCTAAATGAAAAATGCCTCATAAACCCTAAAATAGGGTACTCTGAGTGGGATATGTGACGTGTTGTCTCCATGCCCGTGATGCATTGTTCATGTACAGTGCATCATGGGTCAGGAAAGTGACGCCTCACTTGTCCCACTCAGAATCCCCTATTTTAGGCCATTGTAGCAACACTACTTCTAAATTACGAAGAATATTAATCAAAGGAATACTATCGAAAGGGAAGGAAATTTAGCAGTAAAGAAAAGAAAATGACATAAGAAAATAATGAACTTAAAATCGTTACAAATTTTATTACTAATTTTATATCAACAACAAAGATTGCACCTGCAAATGTACGGCTCTCGTGTATGTCCATTGGAAATGGTTTAGGGTCTTAGAGGGTGTTTGGGAGGAGGCAGAGAGCTTTATTATTATTATTATTATTGTTATTTGTAAAGTAGCTTCTCGAGCGAGTTAACTCATATCTATATGTTTGGTAACACACCAAATCAGCTAGCTTTTAAGCTTAATTTCAAAAAATTGAGTTTCTAAACTTATAAAAAAATAGTTTATAAGCTCTTATAAATAAGCTAGATTTTGAAAAGTAAACAAGTTTCTATCCGAGCAAAAAAAAATTGTCATAAAAACCAAAAACTGCCATAGCTCAAGCTTAAAATACACCCTCTTATTCATATTGTGCTATTTTTAAATTTTAATTCGAAATGAAAGTGCCTCCTGAACCTGACATGTTTACATCCAAAGATTTGATATCTCAAAAATTATTCTTCAAAATTAGCTTTTATAAGTTTAAGCCATATGTGAAGAAATAAATCAGGATACCGCTGCAATCAACTGCGGTTAGGAAAAAATGCATAACTGTCAATTCTCCTGCTTTCTTCTATCACAAAACACTTCCCGTTTTCTTCGTCACAGGAGACACCGAAAGTCTCCCTCCTACGAGCAAGAAAAGGTCCAAGTCTAATTTTGATTCTTGGTGAAAAATTAGTTTTGAACGTATGAGTCCACTAGACCACATACGAAACATAAAAAAATATATATTCTTTCAACGGGGACTTATTGACAATGTTTGGTACCTATATCGCTCTCAGTGAGAGAGATTATTTCATCAACAAAGCATCTAGTGAATCTGACCCTTAACATGACCCTTAACATCAATGCTGAAAGAGATACCAATCCTTGCACAAATCGCGAAGATTAAAGGTCCAAGAGTTGATATTAATTTGGTACACATTTAACTAGGTCTGTCTATCCGGGCCGGTCCGGCCCGGCCTAGAAATCCGGGCCCGGGCCGGGTTCCGGATTGTACACCTCAATGATGCTCCCCATCATCTCAACGCATTATGACCATGTTCCTTAGGTGAGTTCTCACTGCGAGGTGCCTCCTTTTACCGTCAAAAGTAGAATCCCAAAAGAAATTCTGCTATGACGCTTGCAATAGATAAATAAAGGAAGACCATCAATCTAATTTCAAGCAATCAGATTATAGAAAGTTCTGATTCAAGACTGAGGTTATTCATTTGAAAAAGAGGAGAAAAAAAAAATTTGAAGAACTTACAATCCAACACTAAATCTCAATTTCAGGAAAACAGTTATACTACTGATGTACTTTTAACAGGTTATGCCAATTGGTAAACCGGCCAAACACCCTCCATGACTCTCTCTCTCTCTCTCTCTCTCTCTCTCTCTCTCTCTCTCTCAAAAAGCATGGCCTTCCTCAAGATTGTCATTCTACTTTTCTCGTTTTGTCTTCACTTTTCCATAAACATCTTACAGAAAAATCAAGGTATATGTCTATTGTCTTAAAAGAACATTAAAAATAAAATAAAACTGCAATATCCACATTGAAACTTCTCATTAAGAAGAACATCTGAAACAAACAAAAGTAAATTGAATATCTGCTTCTATCTCGGGCTTCATATCTACCTGGTTGAAGGTCTTGGCGTTGTACACCCCAATGGTACTCCCAGCCATCCGAGGCACTATGATCATATTTTGGAGGTGAGTTCTCACCGGCTCAGGTTTCTTGCCAGGAGGTGCTTCCTTTTTGCTGTTAAAGCGGCATGAAAGAAATTGCAGAAAATGAAAATTAGATGACTAGAGGAACGTTTAGATGCATATCGACACTGATTGATATGCAAACAATAAATAAAACCACTTCTACATACAAAAAATCACCATGATTGATAGGCAAATAATAATATTCCAATGATCTCTTTTGTCTAATCCACTTCACAAATAAAACCACTTCTACATACCAAAAATCACTATTGGCTTCTGTAATGTACATCATGAAGCATTATTGTGTTAGTACTCAAGTCACAATGATCTCTTTCGTCTAATCCACTTCTAAAAAGAGGGAAAACCCAGTCGTAATCTAGTTATCGTCAACTCTAAAATAAATATACAGAATTCGAACATAGATTGGATGCCAGCCAGTAATACTTGATTTGCTAAAAACAAATGAGTAAGACATAAGATAAATTGTCTATCAGCGCCTTCCACAAGCTTTTGGCAGAACTCCGGATTTACACAAATAATGCCACAGATGAATGCAGAAAAGTACTTCCCCGGCGACTTATCTTGCTTCACCTCACCTCCATGGTAACCTTATCTATGGCAATATATTTAAGGCATTTCTCATAATTTCCTTCCAATAAACTAGTGATATATTTTCTACTGAGATCTAAGTCAGATGCAACTTGTAAACGACCAATATTGTATCAGGAGAGGTTACTTGTTTAGTTGTATAGGATACAAACTGCCAAAAGAGGGAGATTTTCAACTCCACGATAATATTCCTTAATTTTATCTAAAGATAGGTAAACAGTGAACATCGTAGAGATGATGAGAGCTTCTCAATTGGGGCATAAAGTCTTGTGCAAAAGCCCACCAATCGTTTTTTTAAATCCCTTTTCAGTGTGTTCAATCATAGGTTGCTTTACATTTTTGCAGCTTTCAAAATCTTCCCTGGGTCATATAGAAGCAAGATATTTATGTTTTTGAAGTTGTTGATCAGAACTCAAATTCCAAGCATGGTGACAGTTGCAAGCTTTCTGCATGGTGAGTTAATAATCCAAATCTCTTCTCCACGAGTACCTATCTTCCACTACTCTGTTATTATATATATTGACATATTACGCAACAACTGATGTTAGGGAATGTCTTATGCCTTCCTCATTGGTCCTTACTTGAGTACTAGAGATTAAATTTTTAAAAAGAAAAAGAAAAACAAATTTCAGGTGAAAAAAATCGACGATACTCAAGATACTAATTGAGTTCTGATGTTGAAAAGAACACAGAACTCGACACTCATGACATGTCATTGTACTATATGTCCCTCAGTTCATGGTTTACCAATAAAGTAAAGGCACATAGTCTTCAAAAGCTAAATAGAAGCTAAGCCCATCTGGTAAGAAACTAAGGCCATTATAAATTGGACACTAAGTCCAGCACATTAACCAATTCTATACTGGATTCAACAGTAACATCTTGCAGAATCTAATTTGTTCATGTCCAACATATTAACAAATTTGCTTAATGTCACACATCCGAAAACAGTAACATCTTGCATAGTCTAAATCACACCTGATAACTTGTGGCTTGAAAGTGTTTAAAATATCAAAAACCAAAATCCAGCAATGTACCCAGGAATTATGCAAACAAAAATCAGTTCCGAACAGCCTGTAACTTCCTCATCTGTAAACTTATCATCTTTGTGGTGAAGGTAACATCAATTTAGTGTAATAAAGGCGCAAGACACCATGTGGCATGCAAAGTTCCTTTATGCGCACCATGTGCCAGGTCCAAGGGGACGTGACTGCATAGAAGTTAGGAACATGGTACACTTTCGGGTTCAATCGTCCTAGATTCGCGTGGAACACGACCCGATTCACCAACTCCAGCGATCCGATTTAGTATTCAAACGAGTTAAAATGTTGAAAAATAAATAATTCTTTTTAAAATTATAAACAACAAAAAATGTGAAAAATTAAGCAAATAAAGTATGCATATCTTAATTGCAACATGATTCTCAAGGTTCTTTTAACATTACTGATATCAACTAGCATATAAGAACCAAACCTAAAGCATACCATGTTCCCTAGCGTACCATAAAAGCCTACCCGCCTCATACCCAATTCCTAATGAGTGCCTTACCACGTTCCCGTACCCGTCCTGTGAACCGGAACAAACTGGGCCCCATGCAACTATGGATGTGAGCACCTCAGTGACTTTACCGAACTTTCTAAAGCAAGGCGCACATTGGAAACATAATTTTTCAACATACATGAGAAAACATGAAGCAACATATTTATGAGTTTTGCATATAATAGATGACAAGATACATAGTTTCACATACCAAGTCCCAATGTCCTAATTCTTACTCTTAACACACCAAACACTTTGAACTTCATACTTTTCCACAAACAAAAGTCAAGATTAATTCAAACAAAATCAAATATTCCATGAAACAAAGCAAACGAGTAGTCAAAATCTCTAATTATCTTCCCCTACATCATCATTCTCCTCTCAGTTTCCTCTACATCATTCTCCACTCTTTTAACTTTCTCACTAGTATATCAAATGGTTACTTGTGGATTGACCTCCTAGTGTGTTGTTATCTTGAACTTACCCTCTAGTTTTATTTTTGCAGATTGAACCACCGAATGAAGTCTTTTTGACTCTTTTACCCTCAAGGGTCTACTTGTCAAGAAACTATTTCCTCTTTCTCTGAGGAAAGAAATAGTCATAAAAATTCCACCCCGTGGTTTATCCCCAAAAATAAAACTGAAGGATGATAAGTTCAAAACAACGGTACAACAACAGAGGGCCCATCGCAATTAACCCTATAGTAAATTACTAGCGTTTTCTCTTCACAGATTATAGATGGGGAATCATTGGAGAATCAACTATCAAGAATCAATATTCATTGCATCTACAAGAGCTATTCGTATTACATGCACAAATTGTTCATTCTATTATAATTGCAGGTAAATAGATTTATTCTTAAACCCTTATGCTATTTATCTTCAAGAAAACAGTATGGTACAATCAGATGCTAAAACAATACCTGCCCATATATTCTTTTTAAAAAAATCCAAAATTCAACAATCATGTGTTTTAACTAAACAGCCATAACATGGAAAATAGAAATAGTATTACAAGCATTACCTGTATTTTTATATTTTTCAGTAGAAAAAAATTAAGACTAACAACCTCAACATAAAAACAGTAACTCAAAAACCTCACCAAGTTTTCATAATAAATACCTCAAAATTACTTAACTCGGTATGTTAAATTCCGCACTTTTGAGAGGTGGAAGTTCGGCAGCATAAATCCAAAACTACTTGGTTGTATTTCAACAAAGACAGTAACAATACCACCCATCAGCAGATTTTACCATAAATAACAATGAAGGTTGGTTTGGTTTTTCTTTATAAGTCACACAACTTTAAATATAAGATATTAAATGAGCAAAGAATTTATTATACTTTTAACAGTAAGGAAATGGATGTTCAAGACCAGATGTCACTATGTGACCATCCATTGGTTTCTAGATACGAACCATCAATACATCTTAACGTAACAAAACCAGATTGGAAACTCAAACTAGACAGATAATACTCACTTGTTTTCTTAAAATGAGACATACGTAAGTCTAACCAGAATAACTAATATCTTGATTGATAGTTGTTAAAAGCACGCGAGTTCTCTTTTAAAAAACAAGTTTAGAAGTAGAACATTTAATTTCAAAAACTATTTCAAAAGGAATTTAGGTTGGATCCAATCTATTGGAGTTCAGATCAGGTCTGTTGATCAGATCTTGTCTGGTCGGTCTTGTCTAACCTGGGCTCAGTCTAGGAAAATTTGATCTGGTCTCTAGACTCATTACGATCTAGTTGAACTGGTGTATGGTCTAGTTAGCTTGGGTCAGGTCTGGCTGTATTGGGACTGAGATTCCTCCTGGTTTGGCTAGATTGGGCCGGATGGGTCTGAAATACCTCCTGATTTAGCTGAATTGGGTCTAATCTGATCAGATCCTGTCTGGTCAGCCTTGTCTAACCTGGGCTCAGTCTAGGAAAATTTGATCTGGTCTCTAGACTCATTACGATCTGGCTGAACTGGTGTATGGTCTAGTTAGCTTGGGTCAGGTCTGGCTGTATTGGGACTAGGATTCCTCTTGGTTTGGCTAGATTGGGTTGGATGGGTCTGAAATACCTCCCGATTTAGCTGAATTGGGTCCAATCTGACGGAGCAATTTGGGCCAAACTAAGTCAGATTAGATCGAGCATTACTTGGCTCGGTTGGGTCGAGTCCCTGGTTAAGGTAACCCTAGGTTGGTTTTTGACCCGGGTCAGTTCAATTTGAGTTTAACTCGGTTGAGCCGAACAGGATTAAGCAGTCATGTTGGACCATTCAGTTGGCCGAATCAACAAAGGCTAGGATTTTTAAATTTTAGTTTAGATCAAACCTTTTGCTTAATAAAATTTTCAAAAATATTAAACTTTAAGAAGGATTTATATTTCATGAAAATATGATTTTCTTGTTAAAAACTTGATTTTTATTTTAAAAATCATAATAGATCATATGAAATATAAGGTACCTTTATTTTTAATTATACAAATCACATTTTTAATTTATGTTCTTAATTAAAAATCTATTATAACCAATCTAACATATCACAATGAATTTTATATATAATCACTAATTATATGCAAGCACTAATCAGGTCTGGATTAAAGTTTAAATAATAGATGGATTTTAATAAATGCATAATAGAATCTAACATGAGATCTTAATCTAGCACACAAATACATAATAAATCAACTTGTAAATTGTAATAATCATAAACTTGATAAATTACTCCACCATGAAAGACTAGAGAGGATTTTACAAAATAAGACTTTTTAAATCATGATACACATTATAACTAAAAAAGAGCTTTTTTATAGAAACCACCTTTAAAATAGTCAAATAGATAAAAACCACCTTTGGATATTTTTTTTTTATATAAACCACCTTATAAGTGGGTTTACTTTTCAATCAACC